CAGTTCAAATAGCATCTGTGCGATCAAGTCGACAGTATTGCCAGAAATTAAGGAACCAAAACTCCATAGGTGACAGAATGGAGAAAAAAAACCTTGGGAGAAACCAGGCTCAGTCGTTTGAAATACTCACTTAAATAGTGATTTTTAGAGAAACATATTAAATATATTACATCGGACTATATTAACTTATATTGGAAATATTTGTATATTTCTAATAAAGAATTTACATTAATTATTGTTCATTGAGATTTTTTTTTTTTAATTTGATCTGTAAAGTAAGGCCTTTAAATTTAAAATCATATTTTAAGGGAATAATTATATTAATTTAAAGGGATATATTAAAATCAGATAAAAAGTTATTTGTATATTTTTTGATAAATACAGAGTTCTGGCATGAAACTCTAGATGGCGCAATCCGATAGGTTTAGCTCAATCTGACCTGGTGACATCGTTGTCACATGGCAGCTGATTGGTTCTCTCCTGTATCGGTAGCCAATGAGCTCGCTGCTCAATATTCAAATACCTGGCTTTTTTGTTTGCTGTAGCAGTTGGCAGCGCACTTCAGAAACCCTCCAGCTTCCCCAGCTCCACCTGTATAGATTTGCTACAGGGTAATTTATGTATGCTATATGGGGGTTATTCATATGTGTTATATGTGCAGCCCAGTACTTGCTCTGCCGTAGCAGCAGCGTAGCAGATCTATTCCGCCAAGACCAAATACATTAACATTGTCATGAGAGTTGTCATGACAGAAAGCATTTTCCCATGAATTATTCAGTAAGATTTGTATATTATTTGATCTTTGTGGTCTACTATAAATTATACGTTTGAGGTGGGACTGTTTGTTTGAGCAGATTAATATCCGGTAATAATTATTAAGTCCCAATGAGTAAGACATGTTCCTGAATCAACATTCTCATGCTTATCAATTTTTATTTTTATTGCCTGCAGATTTTGGTGGCTTGTAGCCTGAAACAACATTCATATCAGCCAATAGATGCCTTCTGGTTGTAGGGGTAGGTTAGAAATTAGACCGGTCCTAAGCCACACTAATTTTTATTTCTAATTTCAGGTTTGTGACTGGCTTTACCCATTGATGGCCTCTGACTCCCCAGTCCTGCTGTGCAACACGGGAGTCTACATGTTCCCTGACATGATGGCTCCCAGCCCGGGCTCGTATGTTGGGGTGGTCCTTTCTTCCGAGCTTCCCCAGAAGGAACGCGAACTCTTCCAGAGTGTTCTTTCTCAGCTGACTGACCTGCGTGTCCAGGTGAGCTGTCCCTGTGTCCCCTCGGGTCCCACCTCAGAAACACAGGGGTCAGCTGTGGCTTCAGAGCAGGTGTGGTGGCTCAACCTCGTCTCAAACTTTGTGTGTCACTTACTCAATCTCTGCAGATTTGAAAACAATTCCAGAATCTTACTTGTTGCTGCCCCCTTTGGTGTTTTTTGAGTTTTTCTTTTTTCTTTATCACAACAGACTAGAATCAAGAAATTTACACTGTGGTAAAATCTTTATGTTCTTTAGATGCATGATGTTCACTGTTTAGAATCAGATTTTTGCATGTTGCTCATATGCATTGGGCACATATCACTGCATCTGCCTGTCTCATTAACCCCTTTTCTTTACAGATTTCAGGTGTATTTGAAAGTTAATGCATTGTAAAATCACCGAATGACAAGTGCATGTGGGTTGTGAATATTTATGCTCTGAACATTAAGGAATACCGACGCAACAGGGTGATTTTTAGAAGTCTTTAAATGTTTTATACAGAAGAAACTCTAATGTCCTTGAAACCAGAGCCGATCCTTCCTATATGCAAAGTACGCAAGCTGCGTAGGGCCCCCGAAACACCAGGGGCACCCCTTGCTCTCAAAGATGATTAATTTTAGTTTCGTTTTTGAATTTGGCCATTGAATTATGAAAACCACTTATGTCATTTCTTTTAATGTGGTGCGCTGTCGCCCGTTCTACGTAAAAATCTGTCAAATCATGTAACATGAATTTCATACAGTGTCTTACTCGAGACAAAAAAAAAACGAGTTGAAAGCGTACCGAGCCGCAGAAGAGACACCGTTTCTCAAGCGGACAAAGGCGTTTCATTCATTCATAACTCGTCATTCATAACCACCCCCCACCCCACTGACACTTAGACATTTCCAAATGACATTAGAGTGCTAGACATTTTAAACCTGATGTACCCTTAAAATGTGCCCTTATATTAGAGAAAGACTCCCCTCCTTGTCATAAACAATACTGGCTAATTTCCATATAGTCATCCTAAAAGTCACCATTTGCTTTTAGTTATCGCTTGAGCCTGCTTCTGCGTTCTTTATGATGCTCTGTTTTAACTGTTGCCCGCTATCCTGTGTCCCCAAGGCATCAGATGGCGCAACCGATACCATTAACCTGGGTCAGAAGGTGCCGATGGGGCCTCCTGCAGCTGAAGCAGCACCCCCTGCTGCTGAGGAGGAGAATGTACTTCCTGAATGGAGTGAGAAGGTGGCTCAAGGGATCCTGACTGGTAAGAAGAGGGATCCGATTCCCTTAAATGAGTTTTAAATGTAAAGAAAGGTGTGAAACATATTCATATTACCATTCAAAAGTATGTGGTTGGTAAGATTTTTATGTTGTTTTAAGAAGTCTCTTATGCTCACCAAGGATGCATGTATTTCATTCAAAAATACGGAAAAAAGTAGCAATATAATGAAATATAATTAAAATGTAAAATAACTGTTTTGTATTTTATTATATTTTAAAATGTCATTTATTTCTGTGATGGCAAAGTAGAATTTTCACCATCCTTTACCCCAGTCTTCAGTGTCTCATGAAATCAGAAATCTTTCTAATATGCTGATTTGGTTCTCAAACGTTTCTTATTATATAGTGGTTATTACAATGTTGAAAACAGTTGTGCTGCGTAATATTTTTGCTAGAAACCATACATTTTTTTAAGGATTGAAGAATTGAAAGTTCAAAAGAACAGCATTTGTTTGAAATCGAAATCTTTTGTAATATTAATATATTTACTGTCACTTTTGATCAATTTAATGCATCCTTGCTTAATAAAAAAAAATCCTACTGACCTCAAAGTTTTGTTTATCACGTTATTGTGGATTTAGGAATCATAAACCTAGTGTTTTAAAAGGATAGTTCATCCAAAAATGAAAATTCAGTCATTCATTACTCACCCTCATGTCGTTCCAAACCCATAAGACCTTCGTTCATCTTCAGGAACACAAATTAAGATTTTTTTTTTTTTGCTGAAAAATCCGAGAGCTTTCTGACCCTCCATTGACAGAAACAGGACTTGCACGTTCAAGGCCCAGAAACGTAGGACATCTTTAAAATAGTCCATGTGACATCAGTGGTTCAAACGTGTTATCGTGAACTACCCCTTTAAGCCTTTATAATAGCTGGTTACCTGTCCAACATTTTGGGTTGTACTAGAACCTCAACAGTTGTTTCCACCAAAATAGTGATGCTGTGATGCTGTCCTTACTGGATGAAATATATCGACAGGGGCTTCATGGCTGAGCTGGGGGTTGGTGAAGGGGGCTGAGTATACAGGGAAAGCCATACATAAAGGTGCATCCAAACTACGAGAGCACATCACACCAGAGGACAAACCAGCCCAAGTCAGCCCCACAGTAACCAAAAGCCTCCATGTGGCCAAACAGGCCACAGGGGGAGCAGTGAAGGTCAGCCAGTTCCTTGGTAAGGAATTGTCTTTGTAAATTCCTAATTGTGTTGATAATATTCAACAAAGATGAGATGCACTTCATTTACTGTGTATGATTTGAGCCAAAAACATGTTGTGTACTGTTTCAGTGGATGGACTGTGCACAGTCGCTGCACATGTTGGCCGAGAGTTGGCACCCCATGTAAAGAAACATGGAGGGAAGCTTATCCCAGAGTCTCTGAAGAAAGACAAGGATGGACGCTCCAATATTGATGGTGCCATGGTGGTTGCAGCAAGTGGATTTCAAGGTGAAGTAAATCATTCCACTCAGAAATGATTATTTTCTTGGCTGTTTTAGTCACATTGATGACTACAATTACATTATTATCTTTTAGGCGTTATTGATCAGATGGTTAACGTGATTTATCAAGTTCTTTACACATACAAAATTTACCATGGAGCAAAAAAGCCATCATATTATTGACTAAATGTATAACAAATACTAAATGGTGTCAAGAGCCAGTAATATGTGCTATTAATCATTTAGAGACAGTTAAACTACCATTCAAATATTTGGGCTCAGTTAGAATTTTTTAATGATTTTGGAAAAAAAAGTCTCTATCCTCATCAAGGCTGTATGTATAGTATGTGATTAAAAATACAGTAAAACACTAATATTGTGAAATATTAATACAATTTAAAATAATTGTCTGCTTTTTAAATGTATTTTACAATGTAATTTATTTCTGTGATGGCAAAGCAAATTTTCAGCAGCCATTACTCCAGTCTTCAATGTTACATAATCCTTCAGAAATAATTCTAATATGCTGAAATTCTAATTAATTAATTTTAATTATTACCAATATTGAAAGCAGGTGTGCTGCTTTATATTTTTTGTAGAAACTGTGATAATTTTTTTTTCAGGATTCTTTGATTAATAGAAAGTTCAAAAGAATAGTATTTATTTATAATAGAAATATTTTGCAACATTATAAATGTTTTTACTGTCACTTTTGATATTGTAAATTAAGTAATACTCTACTTTTGTCAGGATTTGCAACAATGTGGACGGGGTTGGAGGTTGCAGCAAAGAACATTGCAAAGAGTGTTGCTGCAGAAACGGTTACCACGGTAAAACATAAGTAAGTAACTCCACAAGGGTCTCATTCCACCTGCTTTAAAGTTGATCATAGCAGTGTTTTAACTGCATTTGCAGTTTCTCACCAGTAACTTGGATCAGAAAAATAAACTGCACTCACGCTAATTTCTTTCCCGTCTATTTGTTTGCAGATTTAGGGGTCTGGAGAACATTTCAGACACCCCAAATGAAAACAAGTAGAAACATTTTCCCTGCACCCTGTAAAAAGGCCTTAATTAACGGTCACGAGCATGGCTAAAGCTTATGTACGACTCTGAATCAGTCAGCACTTGCACGCAATGCTAATGATTTATAGGACATAATGATTAAATCACCTCCGTTAGCATCCTGTGTTGCTGTGCGCAAATGATCCACAGCTCAGAAATTGAATGAATATGTGTTCCTAACAGCCAAAGTAATTAATCTCATTGTCTTTATTGCTTAATTTTTCTTAACTTTTGAACCTTTTAAGCCTGACTTTAATTATACTGTTGCATCAACAGAAGCTTTTATCGGGTTCTATCGGATAGCAAACATAATTATCATCTACGTAATTTGACCAAGATGTACAGTATATATGCTACCGTTTAAAAGTTTGGGGTTACTATGTTTAATATATATATTTTTTTTAATAAATGAATACTTTTATTCAGAAAGGATGCATTAAAGTGATCAAAAGTGGCATTTTTAAAGATTTCTGTTTCAAATAAATGCCGTTCTTTTGAACTTTCTATTCAACCAGGAATCCTGGAAAAAAAGTATCATGGTTTCAATAAAAATATTAATCAGCACAACTGTTTTCAACATTGAAAAAAAAAAAGTTTCTCATCAGCATATTAAAATGATTTCTGAAGAATTATGTGACACTGAAGTCCTAAATTAATGGCTGCTGAACATTCAGCTTTGCATCACAGGAATAAATTGCATTTTAAAATATATTAAAATAGAAAACAGTTATTATAAATTGTAAAAACATTTCAAATCAGATCAAATAAATTCAGCTTTGGTGACTGACCTCAAACTTTTGAACGAGAGTGTAAATCATCTTATACTGTACGACTGTACAATTCATTATAACGAAGGTTTAAGATTAAAAGCTCAAACCCTTCTGATAATTATCCAATATTTAAAAGGGGAAAATAACGGTGATTACTATAACTGTCATATAGCTCATAATATCATAATAATGTTTTTTAATCATAATAATTTGCACAACCGTTCTATCCTTTCTAACTAAAAATATTGAGAAATTTCAATCCAACTTTTTCACATCACAACAAAAATGTTTTTATGGCATCTTTAGGATTAATTTTACAATTTTAATCAAGTTCAGATTTTTCTCTAGAGAAATGACTGAATCCATGCATGTATGTTTAACTGCTTTGCTCTGCTTCGAATATGTGACCCTGGAGCACAAAACCAGTCTTAAGTCACTGGGGTATATTTGTAGCAATAGCCAAAAATACATTGTATGGGTCAAAATTATTGATTTTTCTTTTATGCCAAAAATCATTAGGATGTTAAGTAAAGATCGTGTTCCATGAAGATATTTTGTAAATTTCCTACTGTAAATATATTAAAACTTGTGATTTTTGATTAGTAATATGCATTGCTAAGAACTTCATTTGGACAACTTTAAAGGTGATTTTCTCAGTATTTTGATTTTTTTGCACCCTCAGATTCCAGATTTTCAAATAGCTGTATCTCAGCCAAATATTGTCCTATCCTAACAAACCATACATCAATGGAAAGCTTATTTATTAGCTTTCAGATGATGTATACATCTCAATTTCGAAAAATGTACTCTTATGACTGGTTTTGTGGTCCAGGGTCACATATTGTCCATCTCCTAAAGCTTATTCCATTGCCTCTTTCATCACCCCGTCCCCTCCTTTACTCAATCTGGGTTATTTATAATCAAGGTATGGGGCGGAAGCGGGCCAGGCCACAGATCATGCTGTCAACTCGGCCATCAATGTGGGCGTCACTGCGTTCAATATCGACAACCTGGGGATCAAGGCAATGGTCAAGAAGACTGGCAAAGAGACTGCCCATGCCATCCTGGCAGACTATAAAGTCCAAGAGCCGAGCACTCAAGTTGAGAAACATAAAGACCAAAAATAGAGTTTAGATTCAGACCTCTCGTTTCAGGTGTCCATTTTTAAGAGCAAACCAAATGACTGAAGAAGTGGGTGGATCCTTGTCCGGTTTTTCAATGAATGCTGTTATTTGATTATGTGACCAACACTGAACTCCAAAGACTTTCCTACAGTAAACACAGTTAGTCGTGCTGTCATGTTTACTATTTTCACTGTGTCATGGGGGAAATGCTAAATGCACTTTTAAAATTCCCTTTACAAGCTGACTCACAGCCTGCCGGACAGTATTCCTGATCTTGCCTTCCACTTCACCAGCAATTTACTCAACTAAACATATCACCAATGATTTTACTCATATTAAATCTTCAATAGTTTTGCATGGCTTGTGTCTTTTAAATGGACCCTTAAAACAAAGTACAAGCCAAAGGTGGACTTTACGGATTTCCCACAGAGCCTTAACAAATAGAATCTTCTTGTATTTAAAAATAGTTATATATCTAAAGCTTCAATATACATATATTCTAAGAATGCTTTATGATAGCTGTTTTATACAGTATACAGAACTGTTCTTGGTACTTCAGGATTTTTTAATGTTTTAAAATATTAAAAAACACTTTAACCCCTGCTAGGAACAGACATTGCAATTTCTTGCAGATGATGGGTTCTAGGTTTTATTGTGTATAAGTGCATTAAAAATATAATTGCACTTGCAGTTGGAATATGATACAGAGATCAAATATCAGAAATCTGTTTATTCAGGAGGCAGAAAAATCTAACTTTTTTTGGAAATGTTTAAAATGATAGTATGTTAAAGTTTAAATGTGTATTTTATAATATTAATATTATATTATAATAATATTTTAAATGATCAAGGCTTATATTTAATGTTAACTGCATTAAACTGTAAAATGCCATATATTTGAAGTCCTCCCACAGTAGTTTTATTTCCCCATGAAAACTGTTGACAATGACTGCACTTTTTCTTTAATTTTGACTACTGACCATGTTTCTATAGATTATATATAAATATAAACTTGAACTTCCATAACATTTAACTGTAAACGTTAACGGAGTTGTTAATTCTTTGTGTCTGTTTTGATGCAATATATGTCTAATTTGAATGTATGGACAGCATAAATAAGCATTAAGTTTAACCACAAGTCAGTAGGTTTGCTCAGTGACAAATAATATAATAGCCTATGGTTATCTGACTTAATAAATGAAACATTTAAAACATATTGTTTTGTGTGTACTCTAATTTACACACCGTTTGATGTTTTAAAATTTGTTCCATTCCATTGCTTTCCATTCCTTTACTAGCCAAGGCACTAAAGATGAGGTCAAACGAGGTTATTCAAAGTGCCATGAATCAGCAGCATTTAACTTCATTTTACTACATAATATATGAAAAAAAAAAAAAATATATATAAATATATATATTGTATAACTACATACTCAGTTGGCCTTCCTGTGAAAATCGGCCTGAATAATAAATAGTCTTGAATGATAGTCTACTTTTTTCCTATGCATTGAAGTTTAAGTGTATGCTGCCATCTAGTGTCGTACTTTGTAATAAACTCACTGGAAGAAAATGTGCAACTACATAAACTGTTCTGGTTATGGCTTGCACTAAATGAAGTTGTGTAGGCCTATGTGTAGGCTCAATTAACTTTCTCTACCCATATACCCATCTGCAGTAAAAGTGATGTGTAGGTTTTGACTTAACTTCTGCAGATTGATATTTTAAATGTGGCGATATAAACATCTCAAATCTTTATTTTATTTTTATTTTGTGAATATCAGTCATTAAATGAGGAAAACTGGAATCAAGCAGTCCTAGTTTGAGGTGAATTTTAAACTTTTTTTAAATATGCAAAAATTAACTGATAAAAATATAGGCTACCAATAGTAAGTTTTGGACTATTTGTACTAACAGTAAATATATAAGATCAGCTGTATAGTATAATCTATCATTAAAAAATGTAACATAATCTGTAAATTGTTTTATATGTATATAACGGTATTATATAATAATAAATATTTATTAAAAAATATTAAAACACTTAGCCTATATCCTTAGCAGTACACTTATATCCAGAAATGTGTTTTGTATTACAAAATCATAGAAAATCCTGCATCTTTTGGCATTTTGGTAAGGGTTTCCTAAGTGAATTTGAAAATCATAATTTGCTAATGAAAATAAAATAAAACTAAGCAAACAACTTATGCCAACCACGACCACAAGTCTCTTGATCATATGATTGAACTATGAAAAATAGGCCTAATTGGATCTAATGTAATGCAAAGACGGTTCTTACTGGTGCAATAAAGGATCTACCTTGATTTAAGCGGACAATAGTGGGTGTGACTGGACTATATGAGGAATCACATCAAAGTTCAGTTCATATGCTATCATGGCTCATTTGGGTTTACATGTATAAGTCAGTTTGAATAGATCGTCTCTGCTGGACTGCAAGCGGCGCCAGACAGTCTCCTCCCCACCCGCGAGGACCTGAATTTGAGACAGCCTAGGTGTCTAGGTAGGCAGCTACCTAGCTTTTGAGACGCGGCCCTCGCTCGTATTCATTCATTGAGGGTTTTTTTCCACCTCAGGAATACGACAAAGGCTGCCAGTCTGCATTGAAACGAGGGATGGTCTAACGTAAAGAGCGAAAGAGGCAGACAGACACCGGCTGCAGCCCATCCGCCCCATCCAGATCCAGCACAGCAGAGCACATGATTCTCTTCTGCTCTTAAAACCATCATAGCATCCTCTGGAAGAGATGACAAGCCATTAGATGTGTGCTTTCATATCGACTGTGCTCATCGGATACACGCGCACAAGTAAGATGAATAAGGGGGGGGGTGAAGGGGAGTCGGGGTGGTACTTAGAATAAATGCAATTATAATTTTGACATAACTCATCTAACCACATTTTCACACAATTTTCCTCAGAGATACTACAGCCCCGGGTGTTGACATGGAGCTGGAGCATTTCGACGAACGGGACAAAGCACAAAGATACAGCCGTGGGGGTTCACGTGCGAACGGCCTGCCGAGCCCCACGCACAGCGCCCACTGCAGCCTGTACCGAACCCGGACCCTACAGGCTCTGAGCTCCGAGAAGAAAGCCAAAAGGGTCCGGTTCTACCGCAATGGAGACCGGTACTTCAAGGGGATTGTGTACGCTATTTCCAACGAAAGATTCAGGTCTTTCGATGCTCTGCTCTCAGACCTCACCCGCTCCCTATCAGATAATGCAAATCTGCCTCAAGGCGTCCGGACCATTTATACCATTGACGGGTCGAGGATTACCAGCATGGATCAGCTGGTGGAAGGTGAGCCTGGGTGTCTATATATGGAGGTTTAGGGACACCAGTATCTTTTGTTTCTTGTTCAACTTGACATACATGGTCAACTTTGCATTAGATCACACATGTCTAGGTTTGGCTGGTACCTGTTCTCCACATGAGGACACCATGCTGGAAAATGCTGGTTTTGGAACCTGGTAGCTAGTCTAAAGTGGTCATTAGCTGGTCCAAACCAGTCATTAACTGTCCCAAGACCACTTTAAAATCTGACGACCTGCTTGTAGCTGGTTTAATGCTGGTACTAGATGGTCTACAAGATTGAACATGCTATTGAACATCTTAAATCACCAGCTACTATCTTAAAATGAGACTCTCCAGTAGTGCATTATCATTCTGATGATATCAAAAGCCATAAAGATTCAGCTTATTCCTTGAATGACAGTCTGTGTACTGTCCCAGAGACCCCAAATGTGATGTGTAAAAATGAAATTAGTTATTTTGAAATTAACCTTTATTTTACTAAAATTATTTTATTCGAAACTCATTAAAGGGAACAGTTCATCAAAAAAAATGTACTATTTGCTGAAAATTAACTCCCCCTTAGGCCATCCAAAATGTAGATGAGTTTGTCTTTTCTTCGGAACGGATTTAGATAAATTTAGCATTACATCACTTGCTTGCCAATGGATCCTCTGCAGTGAATAGGTGCCGTCAGAAAGAGAGTCCAAACAGCTGATAAAAGCATCACAGTAATCCACAAGTAATCCACACAACTCCAGACCGTCAATTAACATCTTGTGAAGTGAAAAGCTGTGTGGTTGTAAGAAACAAATTTATCATTAAGACGTTTTAACTTTAAACCATCGCTTCTGGCCAAAATACAACTCCATAATCCATAATATTGCTTTCTTCAGCGAAAGTCCCTTCCCTGTTGTCCTCTCACATCAAAATTCACTGATATATCCACTGATGAGAGCTGTAGAAAGCCTGATCTGTGCTCAATTCTCTCCTGATTTAGATGAGGCAACCTTTTCACTGAAGAAAGCAATATTGTGGATAGAGGACTCATATTTTAGCTGTAAGCAATGGTTTAAAGTTAAAAATGTCTTAATGGTGATTTGTTTTTGTTTTTTTTATTACACACACAACTTGTCTCTACAAGATGTTAACTGATGGACTGTAGTTATGTTGATGACTACAAATCATATGTGGATTATTGTGATGCTTTTATCAGCTGTTTGAACTCTCATTCTGACTGCACCTATTCACTGCAAAGGATTCATTAGTGAGCAAGTGATGTAATGCTAAATTTCTCCAAATCGGTTTTCTTGGACATCTTGGTTGGCCTGAGTGTGAGTACATTTTCAGAAAATAAGCACATAATATCACATAGTAAGCACTTAATAGCACATAATAACACATAATATATGTAGTGGGTACACCCATCTGAGAATCTACTATATGGAAAGTCATTGCATTAGTCTTGCTTCATATCTGGGGTCTCTGACACCCCAAACAGAGCATGCAGTTTGTAGTACTGAACAAGGATCAAGCTTGCATTGTCTGTGAGCGGATCAGAGAGCCCTGTGATTTAAACCAGTAGTCATTTTAAAATGCTCATTAATATTTAACAGCTTCTGCATCTCTATACCACTCCCTTCCTCTCAGTGTTGACCAATAAATCAAACCCGAGAACTGAAATCATTACATCTAAGTTTGTCCTTGAATTATGTGTTAAATGACTCTGATTTGATTTTGAAATTGTAGCAGCGCCATCTCAGCGGTGCCTTTTTATGTAGGACACCCATTCATTCATTCATTAATTCTCAGTGCTGCCAGGGGTAGAATGAATGTAAATGAGTGAGATGGAGGTGATTTCAGTCTCTGCCGTGCACTTAACCTTGACTGTGTGACCTCTCCGTCATTATGGACTATTATAAGGAGCTTTTATGCCCATTGACTGTCTTAAACTCACATGTGGGCAAATTTATGGATTTTCTTCTATGTTCTCATATCATAATAAACATGGAAAGTCATTTTTAGAGTGCAAGATGTTCTCTGAAGTTGTAGGAAAGCCTCATTAAATGAATAGTTCACCAAAAAATATTTTTTTTATCTTCTACCCTTCATGTTGTTCCAAACCCATATGACTTTCTTTCTTCTGGGGAACTTGAAAATGGGAACTTAACAGTGCAATTAACAGTGAAATTGTGAACTCTTTGTTTTGAATCAAAGAGTTTTATTGAAATGTTTGAACCAGTTCAGATGAATCAATGAATCACTCAGACACATTTTATGAACGTTTTATGAAAAACTATTAGTGAGAACCGAATCAGTCAAATTCATAAATTTTTTCGAACCAATTTACAAGTTCAAGTTTACAACTCAGAGACACTCATTGGTTATTTCTCATATTATTTTGTATCACAGGGGAGAGTTATGTATGTGGATCAATTGAGCCTTACAAGGATCTGGAATACACTAAGAACGTCAACCCCAACTGGTCAGTCAACGTCAGGACCGCACCATCGGCACGAGCGCCCACCTCTCTGGCCAGCGCCAAGGCTGGTTCTATGGAAACCAAGGATAACAAGGATTTCATCCGACCCAAACTGGTGACCATAATCCGCAGTGGGGTAAAGCCTCGGAAAGCCGTGCGTATCCTTCTCAACAAGAAGACGGCCCACTCGTTTGAGCAGGTTCTCACTGATATCACAGATGCCATCAAACTGGACTCTGGAGTGGTCAAGAGGCTTTATACGGTGGATGGTAAAATGGTAGGTTCAGTGGGTGTTTCAAGTAGATAAGTGAACTTTTGTGTTGTTGGATGCAGTAATAATGATACTATTGTTTGGTTGAAAGTACTATTTGGATAGATCAGTGGACTCACTATATAAGCAGTCTTTATTTGTCAGAAGCCCGTGGATCAGAGATGTTTGTGGTGCAGAAATTACACCCTTCAGTTTTAAATAAAGCAAAGCGAAGTCTCCTGACTGTTACCTTAGTCAAACAAGATGTTTTTGAACGCCTTGACTTTTCTAAAGGTGAGGTTGCTCATGCGTCATCATCTCAAAGAGGTCAGTCTGTTCCTCACTCTCCCTCTTCAGTGCCCTGCTTTTTTGCTCAGTTATTTGGGGAAACCATATTTAGAGTTGCTAGAGCTGTACTTGTTTGTGTAATAAGTTGGTGTTAATGAGCCAAAAATGAGCTGTGCTGTAAGTTAAACTCTGGGACTACTTTGAAACTTTACTTTCAAACAAACATAAAGTAGATGAGGTGCTCTCTGCTACAGAATGTAACAACAAAACATTTATTTAATGCTGTGATCCATTTCTATTTATAAAAGAGAATTTTGATCTGGTTTGAGTAGATAGTTTGGTATGCATGTATTAGGAATGCTTGTGGTTTTTATTCTGGTTCAGTGTTATACTATTATAGTATTAAGATTTTGAACGAGCTATACATTTATTTATATAGTAATTTTCTTATTTTGTAATACTTCTATTTAGCTTTAATTTATTAAATTAAATTCTTAAATTCAACTTATTTTATTTCATTTTTTTTTTACTCGTGTAAAACAACTCCTGTTTTTACCTTGTCAAAAACATTTCCCTTTCAGTCGGTCACTCTCGACGTCACGTCGGATGACCCTGAGGCCCCGGCCCGGCTATGTGCCCAAGGTTCCCGCTACTCCCTTCAGAGATCAGGTGGTGAACCTCCAAGTGCTGCCCTCGGAGGAGGCAGACCCAGCCCTAGTTCTGCTCTGTCCCGTCCGAGCCTTAAGGTGCTACGTTGACTGGACACAAAGCTTCAGGACCTCAGACCAGCTCTTTGTCTGTCACACGCTGTGATCAGCAGCAGCTGGATGCAATAATCGCATGCCAATGTGCATTGGCTCGTTTAGTTTACACTCGAAGTAGATTGGTCTCTCTAAGCGAGATCCCAATTCGTCGGTCGTCCGACGTGACGTCTCCGTTCCCTCCTTCAGGGAACGAGGGTTACCATACGTAACCGAGACGTTCTGTTCACAGTCATCCGTTTCGGTGGATTTCTCCCCATCCCCATCCCCATCCCTCTCTTACGTTTTTTTTTTTTTGTCTGTGTGTGTATCAAAACAAAACTAAACAAAACAAAACATCAAAAACAAAACTAATCCACTGCATCCTCAGTGGCTCTGATGTCAGGAGAAAATGAAGACTATGGTGGCCCAGTAGTGCATGACACAACAAAATCTCCACAACACAAAGAAATCACCACAACACAATGCACTGGACTAATTTCGTTGTGTTGTTCTAATTTTGCTGTGTTACGGCTTGTTTCCATTGTGTTGTGCTAATTTCGTTGTGTTTTGGCTTGTGTCTGTTGTGCTGTGCTAATTTCATTGTGTTTTGGCTTGCCTCTGTTGTGCTGTGCTAATTTCGTTGTATTTTGGCTTGTCTCTGTTGTGCTGTGCTAATTTCGTTGTGTTTTGGCTTGTCTCTGTTGTGTTGTGCTAATTTCGATGTGTTGTGGCTTGTTTCTGTTGTGTTGTGGAGATTTCCTTGTGTTGTGCACTACTGGGCCACCGTAGAAGACTCTTATGTTGACTTTTATATCCAACTACACAACCTGCACTGCTTACAAAACATTGCTGTCACTACAGCTGCTTGAACGTGGAGAAAATGGCGAACAGCGTACAACTGACTGAGGGCAGAAATATGCTAATACAGGACAGTCTGTCAGTGGCCACAGACGGGGCCTGAGAAGTATGAGGTCATACTGCTCAGAAAATCAAAATGTTTTGATAATTGACACTGTTTTTTGGGGACTAAAAAAGGAATGAATTTTTTATCATTGTAGGATGGTTGAGTCCACACAAGACACATTTAGCCTATACACGCAAACCATGTAAAAGTTAATTTAGCATCCAATGTCCCCTTTAAGGCCACCCTATTGTCATGATGTCAGTATTTTGCTCTTTGCTCATCAAGTGTTGCTGTTGTCTTGCTGAGATATTAATTTCCCTAGATGATTTGTGTTTGTGTTGCTTGAATAAGAGCAAAAGAGATTGATAGGGAGATAAAGGTAAATACTGTGGTGAAGGAGATGGAGGAATGAGATCAGACAGAGGGAGGCAGCCGAATGGCTGGAGACTTGGTGATGGTGACCTTTCTGTGTCTCCGCAGGAACAGACTGATGAAGTGACAAGCTGTCACCAGAGGGTCTTAAACTCATTGGCCTTCAGTGGCATTATATGTTCCTCTGTTTACTTTACACCCACCGAAGATCAGAAACAGAGACTCTAGTGCAGTTATCTATCTATCTATCTATCGATCGATCGATCGATCGATCGATCGATCGATCATATAATTGTATTATTTATATATTGGATTTAGCTGTCCAGCGTATTAGATTTTTGCATGGAATGTACTACAGATATATTATTTATATAGGCCAATAGAAATAATTTACTAAAACAAACAGAAGTCACAATTTAAGGTTGAACATTGTGCAAACAGATATTTCTAGCTTGGAATATCCCCCCAATTTCTCACATCCCAAGTATGCGAAGGGCCTCTCCTTGATTTCCCTCTTTTTGGTTTCCATGGCAATCTGGTCGCTGGGGGTGGTTGCTTAGGAACAGCCTCTGCAGCAGGAGGGGTGCAGTAGCGGTGATGTTACAGGCCGGGCTTGGGATGATGGATGCTCAGGATTGCAATCAAACAGGCCTCTCGCGTGAGGCGCCATTATGCATGGCTGGTTATTTTCTGTTAGAGAAACATTTACTGCACCCTTTAAAGCATTGCTGTAGCTCTGTGATGATGTGCTGAGGAAATTGATTTCTGGATCGATGCATTGTGATCCTACATTTTTCAAAACTGCTTTATTAGGTTTGATAATGAATACAGTCACTGCTCAGTGTTTTTACAAAGTCAAAATGTATGTTTATGAAAAGCTTATTAGTAGGGCTGTCAACTGATTAATGTAATTTAATTTATTACATTATATGCTGATTAATTAAGCAAACTAATCCCATAATTCAATATTTGCTGAAAAGCTTTCAAATAAAGATGACTCAAATATATTATTGTGGCAGTTGAATAGACACAAATGGCTTTAGAAGTCAACATATATATTTTATTTCTACATCATTCAGTAAATTCCATTTTAATGCAAGTAATTTGATTTATAGTGAGTCAGTACTTTGAAAAGTGCCTTTAGATATTTCTTGCAGCGGAAATTCAGAAGATTGGATCATCTAGGAACAGTTACTGTGAAATCTCTTAGCAAGATGGACATTTTGCCTTCAATTTTGCTCTTATAAATGATACATGAAAGTGGTTCCTGGCCCTATCTAACCCTCTATATTATATTATATATATTTTATATTATTATATTATATTATATTATATTTATTATATTATATTAGTCATGTCTAAGTATTTATTTGCCTGGCAAGTAATTGTAATAAGCATGATAATGTTCAGTCAGACGGTCATTAATCACAGCTTGTCGTTTGGGTCGTAATCATACACCCTGCCGGGGTTTTATTTTGTGGTAATGAACGACTGACTGTACATTACCCCTTATATAGCAGACTTACTTTACTACTAATCTGCCAGCAATAAAGAAACATTAGTTTCTTTCATATTTGCACAGTGAAGTGATCTCTAGTTATAAGCATAATCCACCATTTTTTGAAGTCTTTTGTGGTGATGTGGCTTCTTCATGTAAGCTTATTCTTATCATGTGAGACAGCCTGAGGATAGACAGACAGGCATTTCCCCTCTAATTCCCACGGGTGGCATGTGTCTCCTGTCGTCTATGCCATAAATATTAGCTTAAAGACTAAGAGGGCTCTTTCATTCACATATGAGCTTCCACACTGATGTGATTTCCACAGGCGGTCATGCTCATAAGGGCTGAGCAGCGGCTGTGCGGGATGGGAGGAATGTTTCATCTGTGATCTTCTTCCTGCTTGTGTCAGTTTCAGCTTAAGCGTCTTTGATTCTGGAGGGGTCGAGTAAGGCATTTACCCACAGGATGTCCTGCTTGTAATTGTAATTGCCCTCGGCCGAGGTGTGGCATTTCTCAGCTCGGCCGAGGACCCTATGAAATCCATATACATTTTTTTTTTTAATTCCATTTTATTTTTCCCAAATTAATTTTTCCCCCTGTTTTTGATATTTCTGGATACTGTTTTAATTTTTGGTAAAAATTCATTTTAGTAACCAAAAAGCATGTCTAATTCATTGAAATCATGAAACTATATATAATTTAACAAAAATGTATTGACATTTTTTCAATAAGTTTTATTTTCCCCAAATTCTGTGCTTTCCATTTTAATTTTTCTGGATTCCATTTTATGTTTATTTCTACATCATTCAGTAAATTCCATTTTAATGCAAGTAATTTGATTTATAGTGAGTCAGTACTTTGAAAAGTGCCTTTAGATATTTCTTGCAGCGGAAATTCAGAAGATTGGATCATCTAGGAACAGTTACTGTGAAATCTCTTAGCAAGATGGACATTTTGCCTTCAATTTTGCTCTTATAAATGATACATGAAAGTGGTTCCTGGCCCTATCTAACCCTCTATATTATATTATATATATTTTATATTATTATATTATATTATATTATATTTATTATATTATATTAGTCATGTCTAAGTATTTATTTGCCTGGCAAGTAATTGTAATAAGCATGATAATGTTCAGTCAGACGGTCATTAATCACAGCTTGTCGTTTGGGTCGTAATCATACACCCTGCCGGGGTTTTATTTTGTGGTAATGAA